AGGTGGTGGTCTCACAGCTGTGACCCAGTGAATCACTAATGCTGATGCAGTGTTGGTTTGTTTGTTGTTTAATGCTGCACTCAGCAATATTCCCGCTATATGGCGACGGTCTGTAAATAATCAAGTCTGGACCAGATAATCCAGTGATTGACATCATGAGCATCGATCCACTCAAATGAGATTCGATGGCATGCATCAACTAAGTCAGTGAACCAGACCACCTGACCCGTTAGTCGCCTCTTACGACAAGCATAGTCACCTTTTATGGCAAGCATGGGTTGCTGAAGACCTATTCTACCCTGGATCTTCACGGGATATCATAATCTTCAATTGTACACATGTATATGTATGAATCTTGCCTTTAGTAGCAGTCAGCAATAATCCAGCTATACGTGGCCACAGTGGCCTGTAAATACTCAAGTGGGAACCAGGCAGTGGTTGATAGCACGAACAACAATTCACACTGCACAAGGACACACAATCATCCAGCTCACAAAGTAACCACTCAAATCCTCATGTATCATCAGGCCCTCTAGGACTGCTGATCTGGAGCAATGATATTTAATCCATGTAATTACCCATGACGGATGTAAAGTTTGAAAGGGTAAAAATGAATCAATGTCACTATTGATGTATATCGACAATGAAAACAGCATTTGTCACAGTAATATTAATATCCTTAAATAGTCCATACAGCTGGTTTATAATAAATATCATCATAAAGGGCCGTCACAATGGCTGTCTAAACTTGCATACCATTTGCAAGTCAATAAGGAGAGAGTACAGTTGTCGCTGAGCTTCAAGCCACTGAACATAAAGAGAGATATAGAAAAGAAACAAGTCAAGCCTAAAATATGCAATTCTCTTGGTTTAACGGTGGTATGTTTGACAGCTATCATTACCGCTGCTGTAGAAAGGATCAGGTAGCCTTTCATAGCTGGGGTTGTCCCATAAGTGAGCTGGTCCCAAATAATAAACCAACAACTACTACAATTAGCAATGTTTGAAATCCTTCTAGTTACAGCCCTTTAACAGAACTGGTCTGGATAAGAAATAAGCACTGACAGTAATTGAACAATTTAAGTGATAAATTACAATCTATCTATCGTCTTCTTTGTTTATCATCCTCATTGTTGTCTAAAGGAACTTTTTAATTGCAGTCATAAATTCAAAATTTGAACAAGAAACTATTGGATTCACAAACTTAATACATCATAACTACAACATAACTATTTGTTAAGTGCAGTAAAGTTTCCTTAAAATTGAGAATTAAACAAAGTATCTCATGAAAGTATTTCAAGTAATGTAAAAAAGAATGTTTAAGACAAATTTCTCAGCAGTCGGCACATATGAAACGGTTTCCAAACTAACCTTCCAGAATACAAAATATCAACATTGATACAAACATGATAAACTTCACTGAAAACCAAACTGATAACACAAAATATTTATTATTAAAGTTTAGTTCATTCTTTTTAAAAATGAGTTAGGAGGCATTATTTATTCAAACTGTTTTTCTTCAATAGTCAGTCTGTCATACAGACCCTGAAACAAATATATCCAACACAGCCCTTGCAAGTCTATAAGTTTGGCAAGTCTAGATTACTGCAGTGTCAGGAAAATGAAGAAAGTCTCTGGGCTCCTTTTTATTATATTTCATAACTGTAATTTAACAACTGTTTCTATCTGCATAATATGTTCAGTTCAGAGACTAGATGTAAGTCTATTCAATAGTATACAGAGCTGGATGTAAATTGAATGGCAGTAAAGGTTGAGAAAGTCAAGTGAAGCAAGGGTTTTGAAGTATGGTAGACAGATATAAAATCTGACAATACACTTATGATGGCCTGATAAGAACAGTCCACCCTAAACTGAATAACCCGAGGATGCCAGCATGTTATGGTGAGGATAAAGCAATGCTCTCTGACAAAACCAATCTGTCATTCAAAGCTTCACTCCCCCTTGTGAACAGGGTACCCTGGTGTGAAGACTGACACAAAATTACATCCCTCTGTTGGCCATGCATTTCTAACATCAACAACCTCCTATTGTTGCAACAAATAAAGTCCAGAGGCTTATGACACTGTCCCGCTTGGCAGAATGGGGGAAGCCATGCAGAAATATCAGCTGACGAGTGTGGCTGAATGTTGGCAAAACCAGTCTACATTCTAGGGGACTGACTCATTCGATCACTGTTACCAGACCCGTGTAGCCCTGGGTGCACACTCGGGTAGAACAGGACACAAACATAATCAGCCTATAGGTTTCACTCCCAGTAGCTTATATAAATTGTGCCACTTTAAGCCTGTATGAATACAGACAGACAGTACAGACAAAATAGACCCAGCACTAAACATTTGCTTGTCATCCCTATTGATTTTAGAAATTCAAAACAAATAATCTTGTTGTACCTCGCAACTGATGATATTAATCTTCTAATACCTCACAACTGATGATATTAATCTTCTAATACCTCACAACTGATGATATTAATCTTGTAATACCACACAACTGATGATATTAATCTTCTAATACCTCACAACTGATGATATTAATCTTGTAGTACCTCACAACTGATGAGAGAATTAAAAGGAGAAATGCATTTTGTGATTTGGCATTCAGGTTGAGTATACGTAACAGTGTAATTTGTTGAAAAATCACAAAATAAGTTTGTCATAGTATTGTTATATGTTTACTTTTAGTGTACCTGATCACCTGTACAATTTCTGAAAGCATAAAAGATTAGTAGGCTTCTAAACAGTGGGGTGCACACCCCTGCAGCCCCCTCTGGGTATGCCTCAGAGGCAATTCAAGAGCCCTCCTCCTTAAATATACAATGCAGGTTGCAGCCTAATACCACCCCCTTCCCCTGACTCCACTGTAACATTCCTGGACCAGCCAATGCATGGGTACGTTTAAGTAGCTATAAACCTTCACTTTGCTGTCACAAAGTTTGGGCTGATATCGTTATTAATCAAATATTTCCGGAATAAAGAAGAAGGGACAGGTATGCAGGTAACCTATTCACTATCATATGCCAGGAATGTCATCGCAGGCTACGCTGACCCAAGCAACATTATGACAATGACGGTAGGAAGTGTCTGGGCTTTGATGTCAGACAGCGCAATGTCCCTACGTCATGTCACTCCTTGTGGGCATTGATACATTGCACTCGACTGAGGGACAACTCTCTGACTGTCATTCACATTGACAAAGTGCGGAGTGTCATGTAATGTTTCATGTCATTTCCAGATTGAGAAAATATATCATGAAGTCATACCTTCATACCTTACAGAATAATCAATATTGACATGTTTGATCATTATAAGTATTCGCTGTCAACTTAACTGGAGTGTGATATTATAATTAACGAGTTGGTGAATGCTTTAGGTTTGGCACAGCCTTAACAATATTACATTATTATTTTGATGTGGGGACGTCAAGATGAGTGAGTTGGATTTAACACAGCTTTCAACAATATTCCAGTTATACCATGGCGTGTCTGCTTTATATGGTAGGAAAGTCTGACATGATGAAGGAGTCCGACATTTTCCACTTTGGTGAAATCCACGAGCAGGGTGGTGCTGACAAACCTCGAAACATAATGCGGGCGATCTGGGATTCAAACCCACAATCATAGATCTCCCACTCTGCACAGCAAAATGTGGCACCTAAGACGACTAGGAATCCCTGCTCCTGACATCAACATGACTAAGAATAGGTTCCACACAAAGTACCCATTTCAGGAATCAAACCAAGCTATTTGGCATGATATGCAAAAACTACTTGGCCACCCAACCACCCCTTTATTAACCATATATATGATACCTGACATACTGAACAGAGAACTGTTGGCTATCATGATAATGTAATTTCAAGTCCTCCATACATTATACTCAGTTCTGTTTGTACTGTGGGATAACAGTCTGTTTCACACATACATGGTACGAAATCAAATCTAGACATAATGTATTTACCCCATGAAGTGTTGTACACACATGGTATGCCCAGCTCTTATTTACTGCCTCACATACCCTAGCACAGTGTAACACTAGATAATACTCTGTTGTCAGATGTTTAACTAGATCTAACTGGGGGGCATGCAATAAACATTTATATCACACATTACATCTTCTGAAGATCAGATTGTATAGTTTGAGAACAAAGGGTTTCGTCATGATGACATTGCATAACATGTCTTGCCTGAAGAAAAAAACACTTCTTTAACAAAATTTGAAGTCCATGCTCTGGAGACAAAAGCATTAACTTTGAGAAATCCAAAGCCATAATAACTGCTGTTACATCTACATTCCAAAATAACAAGTAAGAAATAAACCCACAAAAAGCAAATAGTTTTAAAAACACAGCCTTAACACACGTAACCTCAAGTCACATAACCATAACATGATTATGAAATATATTTGATTAAATTAAATATATTAGAAAAAATCTATCGATAATAATCATCCAATATGTGACAGAATTTGTCTACGTAAATCATTCCAAAGAGACAGTAACCCGTGAAGATCTGGGGTAGAATAGGTCTTCAGCAACCCATGCTTGCTGTTAAAGGCGACTTTGCTCGTCGTATGAGGCGACTAAAGGGATCGGGTGGTCAGGCTCGCTGACTGGGTTGATGCATGTCATCGATCCCAATTGCATGGATTGATGCTCATGATATTAATCACTGGATTGTCTGGTTCAGACTCGATTATTTACAGACCGCCGTCATATAGCTTGATTATTGCTGAGTGCGGTGTTAAACAACAAACCAACCAACCAATCCAAAGAGACAGATTGGAAGATTGAAACTGCTCCCAGTTTCTCAAACTCAATACCAGGGCTGCCTGTTCCACAAAGTGCCACAAATGGATCTAAGCACTCTGTGGTAGGTCAAATTAACTCAATGATTTACAAATGTTATAGCACTAAGTGGAACAAGGCTACACAGTGTACCCATGAATATCAATAGTCATATATAATGGTATAGGAGTACTTACTGGTCTTGGAATCCATCTAGCTCCTCAGCCTGTTCATCAAGAGTGGATTCAGTATCCAGATAGGTTCCGTACTCTCCCTGGGACCCGCTGTGGTAGCGGTAGATCTGCAGCGCACAGTCTTCAAGCTGCACCACAACAAACACAGGCATTAAACATGGTACTAGAACAGCACTACCCTGTGTCCTACACAATATCACAGACACAGGGTACAAATACATGGCTGGGAGAGTGAAGGTCATGGTATCATAGTTTGGGGTAAAAACGGCATTGAAACTTTAACAGTGGACATCGAGTGTTAAGGTCTTGATCCAACATTAAAGGAGTGAGTGTGTTTGTAGTTTAACACAGGCATTAAACATGGTACTAGAACAGCACTACCCTGTGTCCTACACAATATCACAGACACAGGGTACAAATACATGGCTGGGACAGTCAAGGTCATGGGATCATTATAAGTTTGGGGTAAAAAAGGCATTGAAACTAACAGTGGACATCAAGTATTAAGGTCTTGATCAAACTTTAAAGGAGTGAGTGTGTTTGTAGTTTAACACAGACATTAAACATGGTACTAGTACAGCACTACCCTGAGACCTACACAATATCACAGACACAGGGTACAAATACATGGCTGGGAGAGTGAAGGTCATGGTATCATAGTTTGGGGTAAAAACGGCATTGAAACTAACAGTGGACATCAAGTATTAAGGTCTTGATCAAACTTTAAAGGACTGAGTGTGTTTGTAGTTTAACACCATTCTCAGTAATATTTCAGCGGCATGTATACATGGTACATGAGAGCAGCCTGTATAAATAACCAAGTCTGGACCAGACAATCCAGTGATTGATGTTGTGAGCAATGATCCATGTCGTTGAGGGTATGATGACACACCGTCAACAACTGAATTATTACCATCATTACAACTCACTGTCTCAAACCTTGGGACTCTTTGTTTAATCAGTAATGCCTTGAAATTTACCATGTTTATTTTGGATGTTTTTTGGAACTGTTTGCCAAGACACAATGCTGCCAAATATTTTGAGGAGGCCACCTTACAGGTCATGTAAAACCTGAGGTGGCCAAAACGAGTTATGAAGGTCCATCAAGCATTTTCTAATTATTAAAATTACAAAATTGAGTCTTATTATTCCCCATATTAACTTTTCTTTGAACATGTTGAATGCAGTGTACATCTTTAACAAAATAAAACATTATGTATTATATCTTGTACAAAAAAACCATCATGTACATGCTCTTTATCTGCATCTGATCACACTGAAACCTGAGGAAAAAGATATCACTTAAATCCACAAAAAGTATCCATTACAACAGGTTATCAGTTTTCTGAGCAAATTACCATGATATATTTGACACTTCGAACCAAAGATTTTAATCAGTATTCTCAGAGGTTATCTGTATAGTCAGGCATTCCACTCTGTTCCCCCAACCCCATATAAATTAAGTGATGCAAGCAAGTCTCCATGTTCACGGTGCAACCTGCACATGGACAACATGCTTTAATGGAGTGAGTCATCATTAATGTAGAACCCTGAACTTAAGCATGACGGGGATATTACACCTCCCCACCCACCCACACCCTTGCCTCCATCAGTTGCAAAATAGATGCTGCTGCTAGCCTCCTGATCATCATCACCAAGGATTAAAATATTTATTTTATTTTCTCTAGTCTTCTACAATGACCTGCAACAGAGTTAGGATTTACCTATTGGTAAAAGTGAAGGAAATGTCACTGGTCCTTCATGAAATTACTGGTCTCAGACTAATGTTAATTTCGAAAACTGTCAGCACCTATCCATTCCCTAGTTTAAGGCATGACCGTAAGCTATTCCTTTGCCCTCCACCATGTATGGGCATCATGAAGTCACAGTGAATTCCTTTCCCTCTCCAAGTCCAAGTCCTGGTGAAGATAATAAAAATATTCCTTTGCCCTCCCCAAATTCTAGTAATTAACAAGGTATTCCTTGGCAGTACCCATCATCTATTTACAATGAAACAATACCTTTGCCCTCCCTTTGCTCTTGTCATAAAAATGGCAAACTATATCCCTAATTTTATATTGCATCATATATCGTATTCTTCAACTCGCTTTGAATGTAACTCTGAGATATGTTACTGGTTATTTTACTATCCATTGTCGACAGGTTTTTATTTAATACAAAGATATTAATCACTATATGCATGACATGGCTGAAATACTGCCAGGATGACTATGAATACCAACCCACTCACTCACTCATCATGAAACTAATAACTTTACCATCCCACGGTTCTAGTTAATGAAACTATTCTTTTGCCCTCACAAGGTCAAGGCATGATGTCGCTATTACTAAGCCCACCCTCTACATCCAGGCATGATGTCGCTATTACTAAGCCCACCCTCTACATCCAGGCATGATGTCGCTATTACGAAGCCCACCCTCTACATCCAGGCACGACATCGCTATTACTATGTCCACCCTCTAGGTCTAGGCATGATGTCGCTATTACTATGCCCACCCTCTACATCCAGGCATGATGTCGCTATTACTAAGCCCACCCTCTACATCCAGGCACGATATCGCTATTACTATGTCCACCCTCTAGGTCTAGGCATGATGTCGCTATTACTATGCCCACCCTCTACATCCAGGCATGATGTCGCTATTACTATGTCCACCTACTACATTCAGGCATGATGTCGCTATTACTATGCCCACCCTCTACATCCAGGCATGATGTCACTATTACAATGCCCACCCTCTAGGTAGGGCATGATGTCGCTATTACTATGCCCACCCTCTAGATCTAGGCATGATGTCGCCATATAATGCCCACCCTCTAGATCTAGGCATGATGGCGCTATTACTACGTCCACCCTCTAGGTAGGGCATGATGTCGCCATTACTATGACCACCCTCAAGATCTAGGCACGATGGAGCTACTCCCTAAGTTATAGGCAAAGAGCTATCACTGAACATCAAAGATCTGATTCAGTGACCATCTGTGTGTCCTACAACTTAACTAGTACAAGTAGTTCCACTGCCCACAAGTGTGTAGCGGGTAAACCTTAAGGGAAACATGGATTTCACTTCACCTCCACTCACTGAGCTTTGGTCCATATAAACAAGCACCATTAACAGAAAATATTTAATAACTTTTAATAATGACCCTTGCAGGAACTTTCCAATGTGTCAATTTTTTAAGTTATTTAAAATAGTTCAGACTATAATTCATAATTTCACAATAATTAAATTCTCTCAATATCTTAATCACTATCATGAAGGCAGTATGAGGCAGACTTAAATACATTATCATGACACAGTAGTAATCAGCTGTCATGTTAGGAACATAAATAGAACTTGTCATCAGAAAATCATGTGTAACCCATCGTGACATAATTGCACAGCATACCTGGACATAATCATGATAATTACATGGTATACCTGTGCATAATTACACAACTTACCTGTACTGGTCACCAGTAAACACCTTGGGGCACATGCATGTGTAATGTCTTTAAGACACAGAACCAAAAGGGTAGATTATGAATATCTTGGGGGATACTTTTATGAAATTGTTTGCCTGGTCTTCACTACCAAAAAAAATCCACCCAAAATATTCACGATCCTAACTTTTTTGTTCTGTGTATGTATCAGCACTATTATGTCAAATATCTATTCAACATTCTTCAAAGATACAGAATCATTATCATGATGAAAACATCACCCACACATTATAATGCAAAAATATTGATATAATCTTTTCATATCTGTACTATTTCATGTATTTTTCACGTGATGAAACACAATGGCCTCAACATTCCTGAAGCAAACCCTTTCTGTTCCACATTGCTCTAACCAGCTGTTGATTAAAAGTAAACAGAGAGAGAACAGGAGATAATAGGTAATAGGTCTCCGATAACAGGTGTCCTGTGTCTTGGGGGTAAGGACATTATTGTGATAGTTCTGTCACTTGATACACTTTTGTTTTAGCTAACTTATCTCTACAGCTGAGTGCAGGTGCCCCCTCATTATACCACTGAGCCTGGAGGACATTGACCTTCTGCAGTATACAGTGTTCACATCTTCAGTTCTATTTCATGAGTCTCAACAATTACACATAAATTTCCCCAAACAACAATATTGTATACATCAGAAAATATCCAGGGAAATATTTAAAAAATGAGTGAGTGGGAGAGTGAGTTAGTGGGCGAGTTGGGTTTAATTCTGCTTAGTCAAACAATGAAATGTGGTACATGTCAACTTATCTCTGAAACTATGTGCATAAAATCAGATAAATGATCGATAGTGCTCCACTTTACAGAGCGCAATGTTTGTACATAGCTTAATGTTCATACACACTTCATAACAACTGAAAACATTGGCAAACAGTTTGATAGACCAGTTATTAAATTTGTCTTCCATTGCCATTGATACAGTTTACAGAGAACCACAACATAATCTTCTCTTTCAAAACTGGTGATGGTGACTAGGGGACAGGCTGACATTTAGTCCCAGAAATAATATTGTCTTATTTCCAAATATATATCTACAAAATAAAAAACCCCATAAAACCCAAATTGAACCAAGACAATCCTTAATTGCCTAGAGACTTGCCACATAATTCTAGACTTTAGTTGGACTCCTTTTAAAATTTATTCTCTAGGGTCTGGGAGACAGACTAGGTATGGGAAAATGTGAGCCCAGTAAGATACATGTATAACCGCCAATCCAAATATTGTACAAATAAATGTATTGCGACTGTAATCATGGTCACTGGTTCTCTACAGTAGACGATGGTGTACTGCATGAGTTTCCATAATTTTATCAGTTGTAGATACTGAATTATATGTTCTACAGCTACAGACAAAAAAATACAGTTTTATAATGAGGTTGTGGTATGATGAGGCTGTCATGGTATAAAGAGGACACTGTGGAATGATTAGGATGCAGTGTATCAGCTGATTACTGTCTATATCAGTTACAGTAAACTACGGTTATAACGAACTCAAAGGGACTACTATTTTTAGTTCGTTATAACCGTAGTTCGTTATAAGCATATATACAACATAACTACAGCAAATAGTCGGGACTTAAAGTTAGTTCGTTATATCCGTCAGTTCGTTAT